CGAAATCCCCAGTCAACTATTTGAAAAGATTTGTCAACACGACAGTTGGCAGTTGTCAGGAAACGAGTAGCTCCATTCTGTGTCAGAACAATAAACAAGCCCTTCTGGGCGTTTCCAGGCTTTCAGGCTTTCTGGCTTTCTGTCTTTCAGACTTTCTGGCCACTCCAATTAGCTGCCGACGCGGAAGCGAGCATCGATCTTAAAGCAGCTATTACCATTATCGGCATGGGGTGGGGTGGCCTCCGTCAGAAGTCCTCGAAAGTTGTTCCCAAAAGTGGTTTACAACCTGTCCGGGGAAAACCCAGTGGGAACTTTTTGCTAGGATGCCCTGCCACAAGGCCAAAAGCAGGCCATTGTGGGTCCGGTTTTGAGCTGATCGTTTCCGCACTTATTGCTGTGCATTAATATTTATAGCGCAAGAAAAACCCTGCCAATTATTTGCCAAGGGCGTGCTAATTGCGGGTAGCACTGCGATGCTCGAACCTTAGACCCAATGTCAACGGTTCGTTGCGAAAATTATAGGCTCAAGATCTGGCTAATTTTCAAACTTTTTACGGAGGTACTACTAGCTTGTCGAATTGTTCAGAGCACCTCACAAACAGCTGGCAAAAAGGTAAACATAACACAGCTGATCAAGATTGGATCGATTCACCCAGAAATCCCAATTAGCTTTTTTCTAAAACTTACAGGACAACCAAACTTACAGGACGAATACGACTTCACAAAGTTGCGCTTGCGCAAATGCTGCCATTACAACATTGGATTGAATGGACGATCGGTCAGTTTAATCGATTATCTCGGATGGTCAGCTATATATTGATATATAGCCATACTCCATCGTATTGGAGGCCAGCGGGAGGGAGGTGTTTTTGGTGTTGAGAGCGGCGCGCCGCCCAGTCCAAAACGGTTGTTGTGAACGGACAGTTGCAAAAGAGCGAGAAAAACACATGTGCGGCCAACTTACCAACAACTTTAAAATCCGCAACTGAAGGCAGCACTAGATCGGTTGGTAAATCACTGCAAACGGCAAACGTAAAACGGCAAACGGCGAACAGCTAACAGCAAAACTGCAAGCCGAAAACTGCAAAACCACAACACACAAATTGCACGGGGCGCCCGGACTATTTCACAAACTGTTGCCAAAGAACTTTGTAAAATGATTACTTTCGCAATGATTTTTGCGCACACGAGCGACTGCGATTAGCGCGCGCTTGACTTCTGATCGAAAACTGAGCCGCGATCGCGCTGCGGTGCTGATTAAACGCGAATCGAGCGACGCGAACGTCGATCTCCGATCTCCGATCGTCGGCGTCGAACGTCGAGCGTAGAGCACCGAATGTCGAATTTCGACGCCGACGCTGCGCAGGCGCAGGCACAGAGAATGCAAAAGCTGTGGAAACTTTACGGTCAGCTCAGCGCCAAGTGCAGTGCGAAAAACTTTCCGCGGTCGAGCGTCAAGTGCAGAGGAAAAAACAAGGCAAACATTCTAAATGCCCCGGACCCCGGAGCACGGAGCACACAGCCCGGTAATTCGATCCCTGACCCTAAGACTCCAACCCGAACCCGAACCTGAACCCGAACCCGAACCTGAACCCGAATCCGAACCTGAACCCAATCCGCACCTAGCCCTAACCCGGTTTTTTTTCGTGCTCCTGTTGATGTCAGCGGCGGAGGCAATGTTCAAGTACAGCTACCGGCGAAAAATGTAATTGCACCGAGCACAAAATAAATATTACCTGCGATTGACTTCCGAAAAGCCCCGCGATTCCTGGTATTTTTTGAACTTTTAGTCATCCATGTAAACTACACGTGCAGTTCATCTACATGCGTAGATGATCTCGCTTGTTTACATGTTTTTGTTGACATGGTTTTACGTGTTCCTATTGATTGATTACCTTGCTGGTTATAACAGAACGTACTATTAATAGTAAACAATTGATTTATCAGAACTTGAGATTAAGTGTAAAACAGTTATCAAGTTTATGTGGCCAATTTATTTCTATTCTATACTAAAGAAGAAAATTCTTATAAGTAAATAACGTACATACATAAGTAAAAAACCTACTCCTGCGCATATAATCTAATCGATCAAATTTAAGGAATCATTGGCCTTAAGGTGTAAATTGCACATTGCATAAAAAGTAGGAATACAGTCAAATTTGATGTTTCTATATTAAGCTTACTTTGAAATATTGAAATAAAGTCCACATTACTAGTGAATAGTCTTCCATATTAAGTACAAAAAATAAGTAAAATAAATTAATTACTTCAGGTAATTGAACTGCACCATAAAAACAAAACTTCAATTTTTTTTTGGGATTTTTCCAATACATGTGCAATTTAAATTATGTTAAATTTTGTTTGTATTTGTTTCTAACTTGTAAAAAGTTTAGTTGTTTATAAGTAATAATTATTATGAAATCATTTTAGTTGTTAACAAAAACAAAGTATCTTTGCCCAACTTCTAAAAAATCAATCAACAAAAGGTAAGTTCATCAAGACGATCTTTATATGCTTAAATACCCTTTCAGTTATAGCAAAAATTTACGTAATTCTGATCTGCACGCAAATTGCAAAAACATTGTAAATACTAATCTTTTCGAACGAAAGGAAATTAATTAGTAATCAATAAATTTTTTGTCATATTCGGAAACTTTTACTTTTTAAAAGAAATCAAATCAAATATTTTATTTTTTATTTTTTTCTGCTGAATGTTTTAGAGTTTTTGGAACCCCAATTTCATGCCACCGGCTTGTTTGTAATTCGGAAATCCGCAATCGAATGTCAGTATGACAGCGATTGCGGGTAAAGTTAAAGTCCCCTATTTTAACATCAAATACCTGCCCAGTATTCCTAAGTAGAAGAGTTCGGTCTTTGAAACTAATTTTAAGGGAATTCTGACTGCAGCTTAGCACTGTAAAACGGGCGTGTGCCAAAGTTAGCGGAGAATTAGCCAACAATGGACTGAAGTGCCCTCGAGAGGCTCCGTTGCAGCTCCAAATACGCCAGTGAGGCGGCTCCTCGTGCATTTAGTTAAGTCAACTTGGCCGGGCTAACATCTCGGCTCCTCTGAATGCTGCGGCTAGTGTCCAGCGCCGACAAGGTCAAGTGGCTCTCAAATATTGGCCTGCGGAGCCCAGCGGTCGCCACCTACTAGTGAGCTTTGTTTACCCATAATTAGTGTATTAAGTAATTGCCAATTTCTATGTTCAGCCAGTGGCAAACTGCATTGTTATTAGCTTTTTCGATTGTTTGGCACGCTTCTGCAGTTTAGCACAGGCGAGCGTTGAGCGACAATATTTGGATACAGTACACTTAAAATAAAATCCCCGATTTATAACCTTTATTACCATTTTTTGTTCTTTCAATTTGTTTACCTTTATTGTTTTTAAAATAGCCAACACACGTCTAGTATGCCAGAGTGCACAAGTTTTTTAAGTTCATTCAACTATCTAAGGTAGTTACCTCTTGTCAAGGTTTATAGCCAATTCTAGAGTAAAACCAAAAAAATGTTCGCATTCTATGCAAAAAACCGACTTCCTGTTGATCGGTCGAAAGTCACAGTTTAAGCGATTTTTTTAGTTTTTGACTACAGCTTTTTTGTTGACAAACCCAATCAAATTTCTTACTCTGTAAGCCCTTAACCGATCGCGGCTTTGCATTTATAGACACTTTTGAACGAAAGCAATATACCCTTTTACTTTAAGGGGTAAAGTATATTAATTTTTTCTTTAAATATAACAATAAAGAGCAAAAACTAAATAGATAATAACAAGATGGAGAACAATATTCAAATGTCTTGATTATTAGATACTCGTTACTCAGCTAAGCAATTTAAAAAGAGGTTTGCCACCTTAAAAAAATAATCGGTATTTGAATTGTTTGCCAATAACTTGTTAATTAATATATTGATTATCTAACGATTGAAATGACCGGAACGTGTGTGCACAGCCCAATAATAGGCATTACTAGAATCTGCAACTTAAATCCAAAATCTCTAGCTTTTATAGATTCTGAGATCTGGATGTTCGTACGAACGGACATGGATGGAAGGCTATGGTAAATAAATTTGTGCTTATCGAAAATAAAAATATAACAATTATAAAATAAGCTTTGTATTTCTGGAATCGCAAGAGTCAGTTTCATAGCAATGCAATATGCATAGCTAAGTTTTAAGACAACAAACGAACAATTTCTTTTTCAATTAATTTTAAAATTGTTCTAATTGTTCAAGTCGGTCGCTTCTGACTTGAACACTATCTGAAGCAAAATGAATACTTTTGGAAAACAATTTTGAATAGTTTAAGCCTGTGATCGTAAAATAAAGAGACGGACTGGATCATTAGTCGGATCCTTATCAATAATATTTGAGTATATACTTTATATCAGGCAGCAGCCAGTTCAATCAATATTATGACATTGCACTAAAAAAGTTGAATAAAAATAGAGATTCGTAGGCACGCCTAATTTATATTCGATTGAATCGGGAGAAGATATCGGCAGAAAGAGGAAAGTGTAAGATTGTTTGTATAACAGCTTAATAGCTGCGCAAAGCTTACCTAACATAAGGGCCCGCAAAGCGCAGACCCTTAATCCGCAAGCATTTACAAAAGCAAATCAGATCCGAGGGCAATTGCGTGAGCAACCTGATTTACATCTATTCGGAAACGGTTAATGCACTGCGTTGCAACTAATTAAAATATTTAATTTTTTTATATCGCCAAGTGAATAATGCTAAATCGAGATGACTTCTGTATCCTCGTTATCTCACTGTCTCCCTTGCGGCTTCTGAATAAAATTATATTTCTTTTGTAATTGTAAAAATGTGTATTTTAGGGCGCTGAACTCAAAAATTAAAATTTTTTCAAACATATGAATTTTCGTTTTCTATATGTAAAATTATATATAAAATGCAATTAAGTAATACATTTTATTGATTACTACTTAAGTCAATGACCGTCTTTATCGGTTACAATTAATAACAATACATTTTTGGACAGTTTTAAATATAAATTAATAAGCTTTATTCAGGTTTTCCATAGTTTTTGAACTTGTCAGCTTAAACCACATAACTTAACAATGAAACCAATACGCACAGGTTAACAGACAGAATTACACTTACAAACAATTCGTCGCAAATACTTCTTACTTCTCTGAAATAAAACCGTTTAACAACTTCAAACCAAATGTGGGAACAGGGGTATTGTATAAGTAGTAATAAAGTAACGTATGAGCCACACACCAAAACGAGGTTCAATGAAATATGTTCGATAGTTGATAAGTTGATAGTTGACAACTTTTGCTCGGACTCACACACCAATCCAATTCATCTGCTAGGTTGGCAATCAACGCCTAAACTGATTGTCTGCTCCTTAAGCCGTCTTGCACTTACAGTATAAAAGCTTTATCTCCATGTGTTCTTTGTCGATCTGATCTGTGTTGCCTGACTATATATGAGGTCGATCCGTCCTGTCGTCCGTCCAGTTGTTGCTTTAGTGCCCTGTGGGGCGAGGGAGGTCTGGGTCGTGTTACATTTTGCAATTGGCTAGCTAGCTACAATATATAAATTAGTTTTACTATTAGACCTTTACAAAGTATTGCAACAAACATGCCTTTGTTCCACTCAATGTACAAAAACAAGCTACAAATAGTATAACGAGTTCTTTAAGTTTAAAGCAGACTTAAGAGAGCGTGTTCAGCTATCGTTTATCATAACGTCTCAATTTGATATCAAAAATTGCCATAAAAAAGTCTACAACTAGAGTGAGTATGTATGTATGTATGTATGTATGTTCTTGCAGGTGTTTGTATGCAGTAAGCTACACTAAAAATGGTAAATGGTATCTGACGCTTGTTTAAGAACGCGCTCCGCTCCAATGGCTATACAAATATCATTCAAAAAATAACTTCCTTTGTATCTGTATCTGTAAATGTATCTGTGCCCGAGTGATTGTATCTGTTTTGTTGTTTGTTGTTTGTTATTTCAAAAGGGACTTGGACTTGTAAACCGGTGCCATAGAAAATGCCCATAAAAGGGCTTTGATTAAATCTTAGTTTTGTGCTGCCGCTGCGTTTCCTACTTAGTTTTTAAAGTTGACGACGGTTCGAGTGGTTGGGTGGGTGGGCATAGGTGGCCTTTGTTCGGTAAGATTCGGCTTAACCGAATGACTTTCGACATAACTGAATTTATGTATTATCCGTATTTAAAATATATATAAATGATGTGAAACAGTTGATTAACGGAGTGCTGCTGATTTTGCCTTGCTATGGTGGTGCCAATTGTCATACTGCATCTGCCACTTCTGCCGAGTTTCTTGTTTGTGTCTTGTTCTTCAATCTGGTTCAGTTACACGCTAAACACTTAACATAATCATAATGAATATCATCGTAGTACACCTAATCAGTAGTTATTTGACTTTGCGCTGGTGCAGACTAGAACTACTGCTGTCCGAATTGAAGATGGCATCGTTGTTCGATAAAAAGCCATCCTTGTAGGCCCCGTTGACATGCCCGTTGCTCTTGACGTACTCGTCCTCCATTACAGGCTGCAAAGAGAACGCAGATTGTTCAATCAGTTCGGGTTGAGTTCAGACTCCAATGGCCGACGGCACGTGTGTGCCCGCCAACTAAATGCTCATTTGTGTGCTTTTCTAATGGCCAGCAGATGGGTATGGGGATGGGTATGAGTACGGAGATTGGGATGGAGATTGCGATGGAGATGGGGATGGGGATGGGAATGGGGATTGGGACTGGGCTTGGGCTTGGGCCTTCGCATCCGGCTTCACATGCGAGCGCTAATTGAAACGTCCCCCGCCAGTGCTGAGAGTTCGCAAGTGCTGTTTGCCTAACTTAGCTAGTTAGAATTTTTAAGTTGATCAACAAAATTATGATGATACAACTGCCCACACCGGCTCGGCTCGGATCGGCTCGGCTATCCCCAGTTAGCCTCGCATCTTGGCTCTGCCATTTCAGACGAGTCGAGATCGAGTCAGCAGGGCCTTGAGCGACTAAGGTAAATATGTTTGCACAGCCACCACTAATGGCTCTCAAAAGCCGCCCATTTGACCTACCATGCAGGCGCCCGTATTGCTGCCGTTGGTGACCAGGGCATCACCCTCGCCAAAGTGCTTGGAGAGTCCGTTGGAGAGCGCGCCGTTGGCATGGCCATTGCCATTGCCATTGCCATTGGCCTTGGCCTTGACGGCCTGCCGGCGACGTCGGGCGGCATTGAGATATTTGGCTTTGTAGAAGTCGGAGAACAGGAACAGGAACATGACGCCGTGCAGCCCAATCCAGACCATGAAGCCCTTGGGGTAATCACAGTCGCGGAACAGCAGCTGGAACTGGTGCGTGAAGATGGCCACGAATTGAACCTGAAGGAGAACAAGGAGGAGATCGTTCAGAGGACTACCGGAAAGAGGTGTACCATTTGGGGTGTACCATTTGGAAGGTGGTCAGGTACTTCTTCCACCAGATATACTTCTGGTACTTCGGACCCATGGCGGCGATCATGTAGTAGAAGTACATTACAATGTGCACGAACGAGTTGAGGAGGGCAAAGAACGTGCTGTGACCGCCTGCAGATATAGTAGATGAATTAGGATGTATGATCCATGAACGCACTACGCAGTCAGTACGTACCTGGTGCAAACTTAAGACCCATCCAGACCGAAAAGGGCATGCAGCCGTGATGAATGACGTGAAGTGTGGAGACGTGCTCGTTCTTCTTTCGCAGAATGAAGAAGAGCGTGTCGAAGAACTCGGTGAACTTTGATATGTAGTACCACCAGCAAATGTTGACCATCTAAACGGTGGAGGTGGAATAACGGATATTTAGGTTACTTTTGCAGGAGAATCCTCGGGGCGAATTTACCCGCATGGCCAGGCCACTGGTGCTGTAGTCGACGGGCTGGCACTTGAAGCTGTAGTGGCCCCACCATCCGCTCATTAAGTACTGCAACGAGACGAAATGCAAATGGTTTTGGGATCAGAGACAACAGAGACAACAGAAGGGCGACACAAGGGACAGGGGTAACTCACCTCGTAGAAGATCCACGCACTAAAGATGGTCTGTATCGCATTGTAAACGACTAACACCGAACGCAGCTCCATGGGCTTCCGTTTGGCCATCAGCCTTGGTCCCAGAGATTTACTGAAGTAGGCATAGAATAAGCACATGCAGAGTGTCGGCAGTGGCGAGGATAGCAGAAAGAAGTCATTGACGCGGGGATCTATAAGATTGTCACAGTGGTTATCAGAGAAGTTGAGGAGTAGCAAACTTGACAAGATCATCACTCACCACTCTTGTTGTCCATGAGGTCCCGGTACCATTCCTGGACTTCTTGCAGTATGATTGCCATTTTGTTGTCGCCTATGTTTGTTGTTCCTGTGATGCTTAGCAGTGGAATCAGTCCAGACTACGGATGCAAGCCGAACTGTAATGGGAATCGAGTCGAGTCGAGTGGTGGATGTCTAATGACTAATCGGTATACATTTTCGAGGAATGTAAATTACAGACAGACAGCCCGAGCCGTGTTTAAATCACAGCCAACTGATGAACCCAGGCCTTAAAATTTCCAAAGGCTAATAGCACTGAACTTGACGCAAGCCATCGAATGGCAAACTCTGCGATCGGACTTAGTTATATATAGCCGTGTACATATCTTAGCGTAGTCAGTGCGCGCTAAGCACACGACAGGGACAGGGTAATTGCCAATGCATTAGCTTCAAAACACATTTAAAAGCGAGATTCATGCAATTAACAATGCGCCCGTTAATCAACACTTCGGATCAGGAAATTATAGGCAGGCACGTCGCCCCAGCGGAGGCGGCACTGACGGCGGGGGTGGGGGGGGGGGGCGTGACTTGACCACTTGCACAATCCACAATGCGCAGTGTTATTCGCTGGTCCGCAGCAATTAAGATGCCGCTAACTGGACAAAGACTGCACTTTGTACCGGCCGATCGAGCGCTTCCAGATTCCACATTACACATTCCTGATTCCGGATTCCAGCACAGTGGGCGCAAGCCATTCCCTGAGTTCGATCTGGACGCGGGTTCAGTGAGTTCAAGCACTCCACCGGCGCACTGACTTACTGGTTCTCGACCCACTGCCTTATGAATATCAATTGATTTGCCGGGCAGGGCATCGAACGACATCCAGTGAAAGCTGATTCTTGGAGTCGGGGTTTCGCTTTTCTCAGCTCTGACTTAAAATCAGTGATGGGACGGGTACAACTTTGATCTTATCAGATCGATGCAAAGTAGCTAATACCTAATGTGTCCTATCAAAAACGTAATTAACACACGATTTTCATTTAAATGGAAATTAAGCAAAGCTTTCAAGAGAAATAAAAAGGTACAAAGTCTACTTATCATATAAAGAAACACGTTTTGAAGATTACACGACCACTTTGTGTTTATGCAGTCTTCAAAACTTCAAATTTCTTATTAAGAGTCTTTGTTCTAAAGAATTCGCGTCCTTATTTTGGTTATGAATTCACTAAACAATCAATTCTTTATGATAAGCTTAAACTAGAGAATTATTTTGGAACTTGAAGCTCTAAATTATATTTCTGCTTGTCATTAAGATGGACTCTAAATTGCAGATATTTAATCAGCGAATATAACTCGATTACTTTTCCCATTGGTAAGGCAAACCACTGTCTGTGCAGAGTAAAAAGTACCTAGTCTTGAAACAAGATACAACTTCCCACTTATTTCCCATCGCTACCCAAAGGTTTTCGTACGGGCAAGTTGTGGCCAGTTCAGGTTGTTTTTTTGAATGTCATGAACAATAAACTGGCCATGGCGATGGCTATGGCGATGGTGATGGTGATGGTGATGGTGATGACGATGCCGATGAATACGTAAGAGTTGAGCAACTGGCTCAATAACCGTTGACAAAAATGTGCCGCTTTTATTGCGCGGCCGTTGCCTCAGTCAGCGCGAAATTCGCTATTCGGCTGTCGCAACTAGAGAGTGCCTTGTTGTTGTTGTTGTTGTTGTTGTTAGTGTTCCCTGTTGTTGTTGCTGTTCGCTGTGTGGGTCAGTGGCACGCTTTACGAGTCGGCATCGGCCTCGCCTGGAGGCACAGCATCCGCGAGGTGCGACGATGCGACGCTGCGACGTTAACTTGCGATTTCGCTGTTTGATTTGCATAAATTATGAAACGTCTGCAAGCGGTGACGCTTCCGCCGAGGGATGGGCACCGAAATGGGTGGCGGCTCCCTCGGTTATGTAAGGGTCCGGGCCCGGGCCTGGGCCCAAAAGATAGATGCCCAGATACCGGGAAGCATATACATAGGTCGGGCACTTTGTGTTTGTTCGAGCACACGCCCCTGGCCGAGTGTCGCCCAGGTTTTTGGTGTCAAGCAAATAGCTTACAATCAAGAGCCGCCCCCGCCCTGAAAACCCGAAAACCATGTGCCATGGGTAGGAGCTTTTGGAGGGGTGGGGGTGCTGGATGCTATTGCACGCTATCGTTTACACGGCTCGGCTCGGTTCGGCTCTGCAGCAGCCTGCACTTTCGCATCAATTAGACCAGTTACGCCCCCCAAGCGGGGCGGTCAGCATGTGCGGAACAGAACAACAGCAACGGCGCAAAATAGTTTGATGAGTTTGCCTGCCGATTTTATCGCCATCACCTCGGAGGGGGAGGGAGGCGTTGTGTATGCAGATTACACGACGATGACCGGGTTTTCCGGGGCAATCGCTTGCTTAGAAAACCTAATTAAGTGGAAAATCGATGCAAGTGTTGGCCAACAAGGGGGAGCCCTCGGCGGAAGCGGGGATGACGCATTCCTGGCTGATAACTGGGTGATAAGCACGCCCCACGCCGGCCCAAGTGAGTCACAAGCCAGAGTGCTAATCTAGAAGGCAATTCCTTTGAAGTGAGCCCATAATAATGATAGCGGGCGCCTTATCAGCGGGCCACAGACCTCATTTTGGGCCAGATGCAAATCGCCGATCGGCTGGCTAGGCTAATTGAATTCGGTGATAAGCCGAAAGTGATTCAGCTTTCGGTTCACAGACTCGCCATCGACTTGGTCTTGGTCTCGAAGGAAGTTCCGTCACGTTTCGAGGCGATTACACAATGTATGGCGGTTGGCCAAGACCGAAGTTCATTGGTTTGGGCCACGCACCTGCCTCCTTTTTTGTTTTTTTTTTTGTCACTATTCGTCTTTCATATTTATTTACTTTAGGTTGTGATTAGAGTTTCGCTTTTATTCCGGCGCTGTAATGCTGCCTTTTGCCTCGACACTTGCTGCTTGGGTTTCTAATTAGGAAGGTGTTCGTTATCTAATCACGGCACAGGCACACTCACACTCACTGTCTTTTGGCAAGGCCATACACACACACACACACACACGGACACTCACTTGGTCAATCAGCATGGGCTTTTTGCCTTCTTGGCTAATCGGTATCGGTATTTGGCCACGGAGTCTGATCGGCTGTTCCGATGTTCCGTTTACGCGATGCTCCGCCTTGCACGCTTTTAAGCCAACTGACGGCTGGTCGGATGTGCGTCTGAACCTTATCAGGCGGCGGCGGTGGCAGCGGCGGCGGCGGCGATGGTGGTGTGGAGCTGATGGTGGTGGTCGTGATGATGGTAGTGGTGGTAGTGGAGCGTCGGCGAGTCGACGAAGTGGAATCGATCAGTGCGCGCACGAGTAAAACGATTATGCGGCTTAACTGTGAATCACGCCAAGTACCTACTGGGTATGGGTATGGGTATGGGTATCGAGTATCGAGTATGGGGTACGGAGGGTATGGGGTATCGTCGGCGGTCGGGTGTCCCAGTATCGGTGCACAATTCACAGCGGGCAGGGCTTATCACCATTCAATTGACAATGTCAGAGGCGGCGCGAGTGTGGCCGAGAGCCCAAGAGGCAGACACAAGCCGCTGCTACGTGAACCGTTGGCCAGCGTGCCAGAAATACAACTGATGCGGCCCAGCGCTCCACGACGCCGATCAAAGATGGCTTGGCCGGACCGGACCGGGCTTCGTCTCGACTCATGTTTGTTGCCGAGTCGCGCTTACATTGCAAATTATGTATTTATGCACAGCGCCGGTGAAGAAACTAGCACCATGCAGTCCAACGCACAAGCAGAGTCCACTGCTCTCGATATGCAATATCAATGGATACTTCTCTCTGGGATTAGGTTAACACCAGTAAGGAACTCCCTACACTTCATGGCTTAATTTAAATATTCAAACTCTAATTGTAATTACCTATCCTTGGGATTAAAATGAACACAAACATAATAGCATATTGATTTCACTTAAAAAAGCGTTTCCGTTACTGTAAATTATAGTTAGCACTGCCATGTCGGCAATTAGTAGCTTGTAAAAACTTCAATTATTTAACTTGCATGTTCTAGACTGACATTTACAACCGCACAGTAAAAACGATCAAATCCGCACGAAATTATTACAATCGGTAGATAGTAGACACATAAAATTTTAATTGCAATGTCCGATTTCTAACACACAAAATATTGGCGGTGCTCTATCGCGCTCTGCTTTGCAAAAAATTTCAAACAAACAAATTCTTATATATAAAACTTATATAAAATTACTGCATTACAGTTCTTATATTTTTTAAACGAAATTGACTACCCAGGTGGTTCTAAATAATGATTCATTAAAATTTATTTGTGGTTTCGAAAGGTTTTTGAAGTCAAATTTATATACATTTCTACGGAAATAAGGTATTAAAATCGTTGGATTAATTTGTATTACTATCTAATCTCATTATTTCTGCACATAAAAATAATTAATACCATGATGATCTTTTCGTATTGGTTTGAACCAGATACAGTTAGAAAATATTAAAACAATAATAATCAATATTGAAATTAATTATTTAATAATTAGATAATAATCAATATTGAAATTAGTATTCAATAATCAGACTCAAAATTAAAATTTTTTATATTACCCACAAAAAAGTACAGTTTATGGTAACCTGTGTGGCTACAAAGCAGCTTTTCGATCCATCCCAATATCCCTTGAATTTAGCATTATATTCCTGCCACTGACTGAACCTTTATTGATGTGATATCCTTTTTTGCCCGCTGCTGTATGCGTGTGGAGGCAGAGAACGAGAGAAAACCACGCAGAGAGATTGAAGCGGGTTTTCTGCTTTTCTGTTTTTCTGCTTTTCTGCTTTTCTGCTTTCCGTGGCAAGTCGCCATCTTCTGCGGCAACAGTTGGCTGGCTGATGTAACAGCGATTGACGCGACAGCTTGTTGGCCATTTCCATCCATGCATTGGATTTGGCTCGCTGGCTGACTGGCTGACTGACTGACTGGCTGACCAGTTGGCTGTGGGCCATTAGAGCGCCGCCAAAGCCACTTTCGCTTTCCGGGCCGGCAATCTGTGTTAGCGGGTGTGTTATGGTTGTTTGCTTGTTTCACTTGTCAGTGGGCCACCCTTGTCTTTGGGGTTGGTTGGCAGACGCCGTGCCGACACCTGACCGACCGCTTGCATGCAACAAGTGCGACCCAAACGGAAACCGGGAAAAACCCCATCGGGGCCGAATGGGGGGGTGGGGGGAGGTGGAGAGAACGGGCTCCAGACGAAGCTGGCTGGCTGCCTCGGAACCGTTACCTGCATGCTAGAGGCCTAATTTCTGGACTGGTCAGTCAAGCAGCCAGTCTGGCCCAAAACTTGGCCAACTGGAAATACGTTTTTTTATATTCTCAGCTTGAGACGCGCTCGCTACTTTCTTTTCACTCGATCTCGGTCCCCTCGCAACCAAATGCTAATGTGACCCTTTGTCGGTCACCAGTTCCTCACCACCCGGCCTTGGGGGCGTAAAGTGGGCGGGGCCGAGAGGGTTTGCTATTTGCCGATTCCCGATATTCGTTAGGTTCAATGTCCGACACGTGTCGGTCGAGTGATTGTGTCTGTTTGCAGTACACATCTTTGAACAATATAATTAGTGACAACAAAAAATCCATTTATAAGAAAAGTTAAGTTTTTGGGCATTATCTTAACATACTGCAAAAAAAACACCAAGGCTGCTTATGTATAGAGCAATTACAAAAAACATATTTTAATTTCATTAGATATAGATTATGATTTGTAAAAGTTTGCACTTTTCAAAACAAAGTACTTAAGCTCTAGAATTTACATAAACTAAACACTTACTAATTACACCAATGAATATGAATATTTCCGTTCAATAGCTCGTGTGTAAATAAAGTGGCCCGAAAAGTAAACATATTACGTACTCTAATCGGGTCAAAGTCAGATATTGCTATTGACAGTCTTGTAGATTGCGGTGAAATTACAGCAATCATCGCTTAAAAACAACGCAAATTAAGTCGCTTACAAAACGGAAATAGCAACACGTAGTCCGAAATGGTTTTCATGGTCAAGTTGCGCAGCCACTAAAAACACTTTGATATATATCATATTATGAATATATCGGTGGACTCTCTCTGTCTGTGTGTGACCTGTGTGGACGCATCTGATTAGCGCCAGATAGCGCTGATTGCATGGGCAAACGATGATCCATGCCCACAAGTACCTCCCACATGACTCGTATAGAGTATGTGGAACACGGACGGACCCAGACCCAGCTAATTAATTCAACATTTTGGATTTATGAATGAAAGGGGCACACGTCTGCTTCGTACACCTCCATGTAAGCTTATGGACACGCTTGTGTACACAATTTGTGGAGATAGTAGCGATCCATGAAACACCTGGCCTGGATAATTATTATTAATTATGGGAATGTCATATAAAACACAGAGATGATTAGCACAAGTAGAAAACAAGAGAAAAATTTCGGAATCTGTTACGGTTATATCTAATTTGACCAGAATGATCCAGAATGCTTTTTACTACCAAAAAACTAATTTTAATACACACCTATAATATTAATACCTACATGACATTTATACCCTTTCAGAGGGTTTTATAGTTTGAGGCAAAATATTGCATTTTCGACCCTATAGAATGATCAATCTAGCCTTATCTATATCAACCTTGTCTCTCAGATTTAAGTCCGATGAAGAATTGGATAATAAAATACACTACGGGATATAGTAATTTTTTACAATTTCAGAATTACTTATTTAATAGTTAGAAAATCGGTATAAAGCTGCCATACATCGTATTGCTTCGTTGCAAGGGTATATAAATTTTGGCTTTGCCGTAGTTTGCTTTGCTAACCGAAGGCAACAAATTGCAGGGCAAACTTTGTAGCCAGCAATGTGTTGAAAATTTCGAGCTAAAACGTAGTAAGATATTTGGAATTCCGACCTCCTCCAAAAACAAACAAAGGCGGCGACCATTCGATCACTTGTCGGATGGCCAGAAGCATGGTCGGTTGGTCATATTGAAACGAAAGCGCAAGTGAATAACAGACCGCTCCCACCTGACTCCAGATCAGGCCTCCGATTTATTCATTCATGTACAACGTACATAATTTGTTTGGCTGCCCAATGGGGAGGTCAAATGACCATCTTACTGACACTTTTGATGGAAGTTTTACTTGCAGTCGCGCCACTGCCTTGATGACATTTAAATGCACAAATATGTACATAATTCCGGATGCATAGTTTACTGATGTCAGGGGTTTATTGGGTATTGGGGCTTTTGCGCCTCTACTTTTAGCATTCTGAATCGAGGAGAAACCATCGAGATTGAGAGTTTTACTTACATAACACTGGTGCGGTAAGTTTGCCAAAAATACATGAAACTTGTCTGGGTTACGGTTAAAGCAATGAAAGTAAAATACCTGAAAGCGAGGTAAATACATTCAGAAAGTTAAGGGCAGTGAGAAACGAATCGTAAGAGAAGAAACAACAACAAACGACAGAGAACAGCAAGACGAGTCTCCAGGGGGGAAAGAAATTAACGTGCGAAATATATGGATTCCGTCAAAAAGTCAAAAGAAACGAGAAAGGAGTCTACATTTTGAGGATCGAACTTTGTATACCCATGGAGAAATACAAAAAACTTTAACTGTAATGTTAAGATCTTGCCTTTGTTGAACACTTTGTCAGAACTCAAGAGTTTTTTCACATTATAAGACCTAAATCAAATAATCTTCCAAGCCGTTTTTGAACAAATACGAAATTTATTTAAATCAAAAAATTAGATTTATTCATATTCATATATTCAGTTGGGGAAATTGTACTCAGTTTACAAGTAAAATATATTTATAACGGTCTGTCTGACTGCCATAGACATACCAAATAAATAAAATCCTTACTGGAGTTTTTACATGTTAGGTAAACTTATAAAATTACCAACTTGATGGAATAATGGGCTTAGCGGACATTGCATTTTCTGGACGAGGAGCACAGCCACCACTATATCTCTGGTGGTGAGGAAGCGCTCCTGTATATTCCGATCTTATAAACTGTAATGATGCTTTTCGATAATCAGTATTATTATGCACTTGAAAAGGATCTCTATGACTTATCCTGGGGGCCACAGGAAGCAGCCTCATTGATGGCCATACGAATTAGTTCGTTTCTAGGACTGGCTACCTTTAAGATGACATTCTATTTAAAACTATAAATAGACTCAACCAGAATAATCTCCTAAAGAACTTAACTTTCATATGGTCAGATTGACACAAATATATCTATATCTATCTTCTTTACTAGGTCGACACGATTGAAACATACAATTTTTACTTTACGCTGACCAGGTATAAATATATTTGGGGCCCTTATTATGTTTATAACTTTTGTGCTGATGGAAGTGCATAGCGAGATAAACAAAAACATCTTAAAAACAACCATAAGATAAGTCATTTC